TTACAGCAGAAAAGAGATCCCCTTCTCCAAGAGCCCCAACGAAATCCTGGAATTGCTTCAGTGGCCTGGCTCAAGTTACTTGTTCATCCCTGCAACAAGTGCTGTGACCAGGACAGGCAATGCCGAGATTCAGGAGCAAGCATGAGAAAAGATCAGCAGCAACTTGGACAGCATCAATAGAGTCGTGCTTTCTTTCAGCAAAAAGAACTACACTGGTAGAAATACAAAGCTGTTAAAAGGCTCTAAATGGACACAGCGTGCCACTGAAGAGGGCCAAACAAATATTGGTACCATGTTCTTTCTGTTTCCTTACATTAATGTAATTTAATGTCAAGATCAAAATGATCTGGGCAAATTTAGACTCCTGGGGAAATCTAGATGACATGGCATTTGAAAAAAAATGTAATTATCTTAGAGGGAAATTTTCCTATGATAATTTTAATTAAGGCAATTATTTTCTAGAAATTTAGATGTCCTGATGGTGGCTAGGGCCGTCATGCAGCTATGTTCATTAGCGTTTTGTGTCCTTGAACATCTGTGTCCCTCTACTATTTAAAATCTTGAGAAAGGATTGTGACTCCCCTTTTCTGTGTAGTTCTCACCTATGTAAAGTTGACATAGCACCTGCACTGATGACCACTAGGAATGGCAGTCAAGCCATTTTTAATATTGTTAGAGGATGTAGGTGATTCTTATGTCTATTTTAAGGCTCCCACCGAGAGTATTTTTGTCTCCATTTTTTCCTTTCACTTGCCTGAAATTGTAAGATGTACCTCCCTGACCAGTGCTAAATACTGGTGATATCTAATAGCTGGAATATATGAGTTTTAAACATAATTCAGTCAGCCAAGTTATTTATAATTAAATCACACTGAATAAATTATTTGAATAGAGTCTTGGGATAAAATATGCTACTGTGAGCCAATGATAGTTATAATTACGCCAAGGGGGTGACTTGTAAAGTGACATCCTCATACAGATTAAAATAGTTTTAAAATTAAGTAATTTCTCACCTACGCTAAAATAATTTGCATAATATTGGGAAAATTTACTTAGTGACTGTAAATTCTTTCAGTTTCGTTTGAAAAGAAGAGGTGTAAAAGCATCTTTCATCTCACTAGATAATTTTAATAATTAAGTTTAATACAGTGCATATGATTTATGGTGGAATGCTTAGCATATAATAGGCACTGGATAATTTTTAGTTTGCTTTTCTTTCCTTATAATTCATAGCAACATATATTATAGAAGCAAGTTTCTCATGAATCTGACATTTCAAAGTGGTAGGCAACAGATAAAAGAGATGCTGTGTTTTGTGGTCAGCCAGTCACTGACTTTTTCAAAGCTCAGCTTTGCTGTGATTATGACTTTTTGTTTGGAGTCAATAGCAATAATCATTGTTTTACAATTCAGAAAGTTACACCTGAACTGAAGTATATCCCCATGCTTGCTGAATGTGGGAGAAATCACTAGGAATTTAATATGCTTTTAAAATTTAATTCTCATAGCAATGCTACAACATTTAGGAGTCTTATGAATGTGAAGGATTTTTATTTTTAAATGTGCGTTTTCAAGCTGTAATATGAAGAGTTAAGAAATGCTTCCATTTGAATGGATTTATGACACTTTATTATGCCATGTCTTGTAACAAGGCCAGTGCAGGAGAGAGAGGATGGTAAAGTAGGAGGAAGACCGAGATATGGAGAAGAAAGTGAATTAGTGGGGCAAGACTTTTGTTTTTGTCTCATGGATGAAGTATCAGTAACCATGGAATGGGGGGTGGGTTAGGAAAAGATGGTCTTTAGTTTCATAGGTATTGGTTTACTATGATGTTGAATAAACTGTCCTGGCATAGTAAAAGCATCATTAAGGACAATAACACTTGACTAACAGCTGAAAGGTTTAGTTAATAAACAAAATAAAGAATTCATCGTATTTTATTTTATAGTGATTCAGAGTTTACAGTTTGCTGGAGTTAGCCATTACTTTCTCCATTAACAAAGTAGATATGACAATAATGTGTCTCCAGAAGGCGAGGTGGTTGTTGGTGGCCATGCAGCTGGTGGAATCTAACCTCAGCTGCAATTACATTTGTATTTCTTTCTTTTTTTAAAAAAAAAATTATTTATTTTTATTCTAACGTAGTTGATTGTACATACCTGTGGGGTACAGATTTGAATATCAGTACCTGTGAGCAATATGTGATGCTCAAATTAGGATAATTTGTATATTCAACATTATACAATGTAATCATTTTTCATGGCCCTTTACCAATTCCTCCCTTTACCACCACCCCCCTTCCCCTTTTTCACCTCTGGTAACCTCAGTTCTGTTCTATGCTTTTGAAAGTTCAGTGAATTATTATGATTGTTTTGTCTTTCTTTCTTTTCTTTCTTCATTTTTTAGCTTCCACTTATGAGTGAACCAATGTGGTATTTCTCTTTCTATGCCTGGCTTATTTCATTTAAAATAATTTTCTCTAAGTTCATCCATGTTGCTGCAAATGACAGAAAAAGTGGTATACTGACACAGTGGGATACCACTCTGCCATTAAATAAATAAATAAAGCATTTGTATTTCATGCCACTATTGTATCTTTCTCCCTACCTGTCATCAGAGGCTGGCACACCAAAGTCTGCCAAGATCAATCAATTTATCTCTATCTTATATTTTCCATATTCTTATTCAACATTTGTCTTAAAATTAGAATGAGCATTAACACTCCATCACACACTTAGACCATGTGCTTCTGCAGAGCCACACAACCTAAAACCCAGTAGGGATATTTGGATTCCCTGTGGCCAACTTATCCTGCTGAAATTACTTGGTAAAGCCCAGGAACGTCTGAATTTCCATTACTTTATCAGTGTACCTCCTTAATGAGATAGCTTAATTTGCATACCAGTAGTAACTTTTCACTGCAGGTAAGAAATTGAAATGTTCAAGGTCAATTAACTGTGACTGTTTCAAGTCGGCTAGTGCAGTTGTAACTGTGAGAGATGCTGGGAAAAGGGAGTGGTCAGGGAGGGGTTCCGCTTCCTCCTGATGAGAATTGATGATCCAATTTTAACTCACTAGAATCATGCTGACTCTTTTTTTCCTTGCTGTGCTTCTCTTATGTGTTTGCTTTTTAAATACTGGTCTATAAAGGTGTGTCAAAATGCCAGAGGAATTCTATGAAATTCTAGATTAAAAGAACATATTCTCATTTTTGACTTTAGACCATTAACATTAACTAGAAAGAGCAAGCAGAGAAATAATCAGCACTTTTGCAGACGTGTAAGCTGATTTAGATAAAATTCCAAAGGTAGACTTTCCAGGGTAAGATGGTGGCTGGCTGGAGGTACTTCATTAACTTTTCCTAACTTTTCATTCTAAAAAAATGATAAAAAATACAGAGAGATATGTCCTTGCAGCAGTAAGAGGACCGGGGATGCTCAGTTAGCATCAGACCTTGGAAGACTTTCTTCTTCCAAGCTTTTGGTAGGCCCTGGGGTGGAATGCTAAGATTAGACAGGACAATGGAGGAAAATTTCTCCCCACTCACCACCCCCCCATCATGTGCCTATATTTCAAAAACAGGGTCCATTGTTAGACAGAGCAAGGAAAGTTGATCCTCTTGGGTGGCAGCTAAATCCCGAGATTCCCCATCCCCATGAGCATGGTCTTTTCTACATCCACTGGGAACTACTGATTCCTAGTTCTGAATCATGACAATGTGAAGGGCACTACTGTATCCTGGTTAAGAGAACTGTGTCTCTTGCCTGCCCCGTGAACAATGGCAAGGTGCTCAAATTCTCTGTATTTGACTCATCTACTAAATAGGTTGCTTTGAGAATTAAATAATAATGAGTTCTGCCTTTCATCTATCAGAGTGTCATTGTGCTGTGTTCCACCATCAAAAGAATCTTAAAATCTTCTAAAACAATTGTCAACACAGGTGTGTCCATTCAGGTCTCACAGTGGCATGTGTCCCACCATAATAGCAAACATTGTTGGGTATCTCTTTGAACTAGGGCCTGTAATCAAGGTTTTATAAAATAGGTCACAGATGTCAAGAATAGTGCTTAAATAGAAACTATATATAAATTAGTGGTAATCCTTATCTAGAATTTCAGACCTTATTATCAGAGCCTCAAGGTGGGTGGCAAAAGAACAAGGGAAAAAATGCGCTAATATTCTTCTTTGGGGTGATATGTAATAGATGTTGCATTTTAATAAATATTGAATATCAGATAAATATGGATTCAAGAATGTATAAAACCTTATTTCATGAATTTTACAAAGATTATATATTACTTAAATAATAAGCAATGTCAGTATTACTTAAAATAAATACATTGCCAAATAATTTTTCACAAACTGCTGCAAGCCACCTTCAACCCACCGCTGGATACAACTCTTCATCTTTTATTGTGTTATTGTTCTCTGCACCTGCCTCACTGTTAATGTTGTGTTGCAAACATGCTTTTCAATGTCTGTCCCTCCCTTGAGCCTGTAAACACCTTGAGGTCAGGACTATTCTTTGATCATCTTCATTTTCTCAAGCTTAGCAATGTACTTCCTCTGCTAAGTGTAAACATAATCAAAGGTAGTTTTCTGGTTCAACCAAAGTGTGAAAGTATTCCCTTACATCCAGCTCTGGGCAAAGGGATAAAGGGCCAAACCGGTACCCAGTATTGCATGTGGGCACTAAACATGCTAGTTCCAAGTGCTGACATGAATGTTCACCTGTCAAATTAAGCACCTCAAGCATTTAGCAGGACCCGTAGCTCTCCCCAGTATCAGGAGGCCATGAAACCTAGAAATTAGGCTACCACCATTTACACTACATTCTTGCTTTTCTATATTTCTTTTACAATTATGAGAAGTTTCATATTTTGGAAATTTGACTTAAGTTTCATAGAGGAATACAGTTTTACTGGCATTTCTACTTCATTAACATAATTTTTAACTAACTCTCCTGACTCAATGTTCTCCTGTCTCTATTTTTATGAAAGGAGCTGGTGGCTGGTCTCCACTTGTGTCGAACAAATACCAGTGGTTGCAGATTGACCTTGGAGAGAGAATGGAGATCACTGCTGTGGCCACCCAAGGGGGATATGGGAGCTCCAATTGGGTGACCAGCTACCTCCTGATGTTCAGTGATAGTGGCAGGAACTGGAAGCAATATCGTCAAGAGGACAGCATCTGGGTATGTTTCTTTAACAAAAGACATAGACTCTTAGGAAAGTAGTATACCCATCACTGCATCTTGTTTACCAATGTCTTAAGTAGAGGTACAAAATCTTCAGAATTACTTGAAAGCATTTTCAAAGAGAAAATATGGTAAAAATTCTTTTTTCTGATACATATCACGGTAAATCTACGAAAATATTAAAGGTAAATTTATTCTACAGAGTCCTGAGAAATACATCCACACAAATATATATATATATATATGTGTTTCATATATAAACCTTGCTCTAGTCTCTTTAAAGTGTGTAAGTGTGTAAAATGCTGTGTTGTGAACAGTGGTGCAGCCCCTACAAGAGAGAGATGGAGAGAGAGGCAGGTTGTAAGAGAGTGGGTGGTATTTGTAGTTGACTGATTGCATGTAAGTACCCAATGGAAGAAGGAAGCTAAAGGAAGTTTGCTTGATGATAAAGAAAGGACTTTTTTGTTAGTGTAGAAAAGTGTTTGTTTGGATTTTATGTGAGCCAGGGAAAACACGCTGCAATCAAACAACTTTTTTTCCCTCCTCTGGTTGAGCTTCCGGAACCAGAGAAAATGAATAACTTAATGAAGCATCATTCTTAGCACACAGATAATTTGGGAGCCGATTTGGGCACATAATGATAATTTTCTTTGACCAGTCAATTGCCTCTTTTTTGAAACTTTCTAGAACTCTTGTTATACATTGTAAACTCATTGAAGAAATGGACTATGATTTACTCACCTTTGTGTCTCTAAAGCTCTTGGTGGTCATTCAATGCATGTTTATTGATGTAAATCGAATTGAGAAGAAGTAGCCTTACTCTTTTTCAGGAGAGAACAACAACGGGGCTGAAAGAAGTTGCCTATTAGCATTTTTAAGAAAAGCTGCTTTAAAATCCAAAGAAAGTTGAAGCAGTATATAAGAGTCAGAAAAAAACAAAAACAAAAAAATAAACACACCTGGATATTATGGTTGAGTTAATTCCATGAAAACCATTCAAACTAGGGATAAAATAAACAGTAATTATGAACGAATAACAATGGCAGCTTAATGAGGTATTTATTTTAACTAGGTGTTTGGGTTACCTTTTACTCTTTTTCTGAATTAAGCATGGGATTTTAAACTAAATAGGTAGTGACTAATGCCTGCTAATACTTAGCTGTGTTAATTAAAATGTGGTATAGATTCCGTGTCCCCCCACATCCCCAAGCTCGCTGAAGCTTAATTCCCACTGTAACTATTGAAGGTGAGGAGCCCTCACTGTCTGCTCAAGCCATCCATCATCTGGCAGTGTGATACTCGGCATAGCTGAAGTCACCACCAAAGGTGGCCCTCAGCAGATGTGTTCCCCGAACTTTGGACTTCCTAGCCTCTGAAACTGTAAGCAATAAATATTGTTTCTTTACAAATTAACCAGTTTCAGGTATTTCTGTTATAAGCAACAGAAATGGCCTAATACAAAATGTACGTTTTTGACTTTTTAAAAAATGATAGAACAGTCATGGAAATTTTCATTTTTCTGTTAATCAGGCTTAGGGAAAACCAAATCTAGGTATTTCTATTTGCCTTTTTTTGCTTATTCCTATGAAAGATGAGGGTGAGGTGGTGTCATGAATGATATCCTTATAAATCCAAAACAATAAAAGTAAAGACCTGGCATGGATTTCAATCTTGTTAACATAGTTCTGTAGACTGTGTTGTAATTTATCGGTTTATTCACTGGCGTCTCTTCTTGAGTGTGAGTTCCCTGTAAATAAAGATTGTACCTTCCAACCTTTCATCTCAGCATCCCCAAAGGGTACCAGTGTTTGGCATGTTGCAGGAAAATACTAAATGTTTGTTGAATGAATGAATAAATGAATTAATGAATAAGATGCACTTTCTTGTAGGATACTTTTCTGATCATGCTAACTAAAAATGACTCCTTCCTGCACTTATTAGCTCTCCTTTTTAGAGTATTGATGTTGTACCAGTTTAATGCACTTAGAATTAAGGTGGCATATTTTTCTCTCCCCCATAAGTTCTGGACTTTTTATGGGGGAGGTTTTTATCTTTCTCATTTTAGCATTTTTGCCATTCAGTATGCAGTGTGGCACATGAGTTTTGTTAAGTGAATTAGTGAAAGAACCAATAAATAAATGAATAGATTTGAATATATTAATATACTAATCTGTGCCTGTCTTTGTACAAATTTCTGGGAGGAATTAAAAGAGTTCATGTTAATGTCATTGAAGAAATAAGGCACATCGGAAGCCAAAGAATGATAGCATGAAAATATTAGGTGCAGACTCCCAAAGATTTGGAAGTGGACAGAATATGGAGATTATGGCAAGATTAAGAAAGCTATTTCATGAAGCTGGAAAAGTGTGAACAAAAGCATGGGCATCGGTGATATCCAGAGATATGTTTTCCTGTGTAATAACCACTGACACTTCTGGTCAGATGGGGCTGTCAAGTTTGAGAAGGACTGGGCAATAATTTTATTTTATTTTATTTTATTTATTTATTTATTTTCCTTTTTGTCTTTTTTCATGGCCGGCAACGGATCGCAACCCTCAGTGTCGTGCCCGTACCGGACCGGGACTGGCAACGGGATCGCAACCCTTGGTGTTGCGCCCGCACCTC